GGGATGAAGGAGTGTATGCGGGAAAGTCATGTTATTTGTAGAGTGTATTGGGAACACAAAAATGTATAAGGTATGAAAATATAAGGCAAAGCAACAACAAAATTTGTTTAATGGAACGACGAAATTCAATCGTAATTGGCAATGTATTTTTGCTACTACAAATAAAAACTACTGCGTACTGTGTTGTTATAAATCATGAAATTTATGTAATACAATAATTTGCTTCTACTCATAGTCCATCCAGAGAGCCAAAGACAGTCTCGAGCCAGGCAGTAAAGGAGTCAATAAGATAATTATATAACATTTCTATTTATAAGTTGTCCTATCTATTTTTACTTAAGCTGGTCAAGAAGTGTGTAACACCTAAGCCCGCCCTATTAACACCCTAGTAACTAACCATACTGATGCTGATATATTATCGCTACCTCAGAATTACAAAGCTGTATCTTCTCAATACCTAATTTTGAGAAATTTGAAGTCAATACTTTTGAGTTTCACAATATCGCTACATCAGAATTACAAAGTTCTATCTACTTAATACACAGTTTTGATAAATTTGGCGTTAAAATTATTGAATGTCACAATATGTCAGGTTTTTTAGAATGCAATTCTTTGAATATTTTGAAGACGACTCCGAATATTCTTACGATTTTGATGGAGCAGGTAGAACATTTGGTTTCTGACCTGATGGTTTTTTGGGGGGCATATGGAGTTATTGGAATAATCTTAAACCTTGTTCATTTGTCTTGCTTTTGATGAAAAAATACCTACTATCTTCAAATGAATTCGAGATATTTGCTCCTGAAGGAAATGAGGTTCGCCTGGTGTCAGACGTAAAATCAGCGAGAAAATAGCCGCCAAAGTTTGGTGACTGTTAAACCTTGAGTGTCCTTAGAAACACATGCAAATATACATGTTTGTTCCTTTGATCAGCCGTTCAGTAAAATTCGCTGAGCAGTGTATCTTTAAATAGAAATATAAGGTGGTAGACCCCCCTCCCCCCCCCCCCCCCACCAAAAAAAGGATACAAATTCCGACACCGGGAGGGAAAATGTCGGATTCTCCGATTTCATTACACCATTCATTGTTTGGGGGGGGGGGGGGTTATGCGGATGGTTTACGCCTACTTCGACACATTTGGGATCATGTAAGAAGCAAGCTTGGGCCCTGTCTGTTAGGACCAACCCAGACTGAGTGGGATACAATGTTGCATTAGAAAGACAGAGATGCCCGATACCAATTCTTCCCTCATTGGAATCTAACTTAAGTCTTCTGTGTTTGACGGCGAAACCCCTAACCGTTACACCACAGAAGTCGTTTTAAGCTTTCTGAGAAAAAGGGTACCCATAACAAATATTAGAATAATTTCAATTGTAACGGACAACGTATGAAAATTCTGAAATAATGTAAGTATTTGTTACTTATTGTTTTCGACCCAGTTTAGATCATTCAGGAGGTGGGCTTCCAACCATGCCTATCAGCGCAAACCTGGGCTCAGAGGGAGGCAACATCTCAACAGAAAGGCTGAGATACTCGAAAAAAAAATTCTTCCCATGGGGGATCGAACTTGGGTCACCTGCCTCCGATGGCGGAGAGCCAAACTGCTACACCACAGACGCATGTACAAAGAACGTGTATAATTCTGCAAAGGCAACGTTTGGAAACTGTGGATTATAATTCAGAAAAAAAGATATGTTTGTAAAAATAATGTTGTTAGTTTTTTTTTAATGAGTCTGAGGATCTGAAGCGGTGCTGCTGTGAGACGGGTATTCTCGTCGCTGGTTGAAAATGTAAAAAATGTATGGGTTTTACACTTCTATCAACACTATTAGGTTATTTAAGAGGCGGGACTTCTGAGTTTAACGTCCATCTCCGAAATGACAGAGCCAAATGGGTTTTTCGTGTAAAGTGCCTTTCCCAAGCGCACAACGTCGGACCGAGCTGGAGCTCCAACACCCCGACCTGCAATCTCATGATTACGAGTCCGGTAGCCTAACCACTAGGCTACCGTCGGTGGTTGCTAATGAGTTAAAATCACAGTTGGTTTTACGTAACTACTAGGTAGATGTAGATCACACATGTACCTTAGTAGATTGGAACAACAGAAATTTATACGAACGGGAAAAAAGTTTGGCAGGCAAACGAAGTTCTAGATGAAACACCAAGTCCACATATTATTAATTCCTCTTTTCATTAAGTTAGCTGTTTCTTTTGCTGACGTTTGCAGCCCTTCCAATTAAAGTTAACTGGGGGGAAGGGGGATATATTTCGAGAAAAAAAAGAATTATATTATACTGTGTGCATCTGTCAAGACTACCACTACCACCAGACAATATAGCAACGAAAGCATATAACCAGAAATCAGACGGAAACAGAGGAAGCGGCAAACCCAGGAAAAATCGGAGAGACCGGATCAGACAAATATTAATCAGGAATAACATTATTATGCAAAAGGCGATACAAGACAAAAAGGGAGAAATGTTTGCTTCTCAGTTCAACACCGCGAAGTAACAGAGGGGGAGGAAAAGGTGAAGTAAAAAGCAAGCAAAGATTAAATACAGTTCTTATCACGTTCTCAACCAACTGTGACACAGAAACTAGTACGATCAGATCATCTGAAACGATAAGGGCAGATAAGGGAAAAACATACATTTAAAAAGATAGAAGTTTTTAACCCCTATCTTACCACACGTGTCTAACAGGAGGTAGACATTCACCGCGAGCTCTTTCATTTAAATTAAATGGGTAGTTAAAGGGCCCCACCGGTAGGTCCTTCTTTGTTCTTTTCTCTCTTTTCTTTATGCCTTTCAGTCTTACTTTTTCTCAGCACCTAAAGGCCGTTATTTCTTTAGGGGGTTTCTCCTTAATCAAAATTGAATTTAAGGTTTAAATCAAAATACGAAGCATTCAGGCTTAACGTCGATGCACAGTAAACCCCATAGCCTGTGAATTTAAATTACACGTTTAGTTCCTCCCCTCCCAGCGAAAGTGAAAAATTCAGACTTAGCACCAATGCCTGTTTTCCCACAACTTGCAAAAAGTTGCACGTTTCTCCAAGCGATCATGAGTGATTCATGCTTTGCTAGCGCCAGTACGTCGCTCCCACAACATGCAAAAATTACACCTCTCTCCAAGAGATCATAAGTGTCTCTGACCGGAAGTTGGAACAACATGACATGAAAATGTATTACAGTGGTCCTGGAGTCCTAGTCTTATCATTCCGCTGTTTTGTTGTGACGAAGACCTTGATCGATATATAAATAGCAATCCCTCGTGCGTTTTGATGTTAATATATTTCTCCAATTAGATAGATCCACGCCACTCACAACAATCGTTCAGTCAATGGGAGTCTTTCTTATTAGTGCTTGAAGGTTTGTATTGTCTCTCTCTCTCTCTCTCTCTCTCTCTCTCTCTCTCTCTCTCTCTCTCCCTCTCTCTCTCTCCCTCTCTCTCTCTCTCTCTCTCTTAGTAGCATAAGTGACGCAGGAAACGGGCCAAACCGCAGAAGCTACAATGATGACTGTTTGTTTAACGAGGAGAACATTAAGCTGTAAAGCTTATCTATAAAACTGGGACCATCGTATCATTTATAAAAGTTAAAACAGCCCACTCGTCCGTTATGTAATTCAGTTTTTAATCGTGGGTCAAAGCGGCATAAGTCCCTCATTTTCAAAATTACTTGCACATTTTAGAAGTCGCGAAACCAGAGACTGTGAGCAATGTAACAAAGAAGCAGAACTAAAACAAAAAGAATAAAATAAAATAAAATAAAATAAAATTTTAAAAAACAAAAACAGACAAACAAAAGATAGAAAATAACAAAACAAGTCAATATATTTTTTTCTTCATTTTGTTTCTCGTACTCTATTTCATGAAGCTGGTCAGCTTTTGGTCAGTGGATCAATTATATGACTTAGCTTGGGACAAGCGACCCTATCTTGAATGTTTCAATCAAAGTAACTCCCACTTCCCCAGTGCGCATGACATAACGGAAGTTACGCTTTGAAATGAGATATAGAAAACTTGTACCTTGTACTTGTATCATTTTGGAGGCCGTCTGCTTCGACCCTGTTTGAGCAGGATACAGCATTCCAGCAGAAAGACGGATCTACTACATAAAACAGCCTTCTCCACAAAGGGTTCAAACTGACTTCTTGTTTCATACAACAGCGAAGAGTCTACCAGTTTCAAACATGGAAAAGCCAAATAGTTGTAATTAAATAACGTTAACTGTCTGTTACACTTTTCTGAAGTATCATTCTGAAATTACTGTCAGAAAATGCCCTATGTATGACGCAACTGTCTAATATTTTGGGATCAGATTCTTGCACTGGGGAGTTTGAGGATTTTCTTTTACTGACTACACGGACGATCATTTGTGGGTAGTTGGTGGGTGCTCTAGTGTTCTTTACTCCCTTTTCCTATAAAATATCTGTTTCTCTTATCTGTCCTCCTTTTCGTGTTTATTACACACTTGTAACACCTATAATGTTCGGCGATACCTAAAAAAACAAACATTTATTGTATTGTAACCGCCGTGGAAACATTATTACTAGGTGCATCTTCATTATAGAGTGTTACGTCTTCTTCTTAGCTTTTCGTTTAGTTGGACAATGTTTTCCATTTTGCAATAAAACACTGTCTCTTGCCCTTCTACCTGTGTTGTTTTGGTTCCAAGCCAAATTTCCCGTTCTTATCTTCTGTTACGTCTCCCAATTTCTCTTTTGCCTCCAACCTGTGCACCCAGAACGTATTTTCATTTCGAAATACGTTATCCTTTTCATTTTTTTTTCACGGATGGTCCATGCTTCATATCCATATCTTGATGATGAAAATAAAGAATCTCTTAGAATTCGTATTTTTCGTTGTTGTTGTATTTTTGCATTGTCCTTCCCAGATGCTGTCATCGTTTTCCATTTTGATGTTGCGATTGCAATACATTTAACATCTCAGGTTGTTTCCCTTGTGCCCCAATTTTTGTTCTGAGACATTCAAAACTGTTATCTCTTTCTATTGTTCCCACAAATTCTTATGACAGCCTTTTCTTCGCATTTGTCTATGTCCTTCATTTTAGCCGTCTATACATTTAAATATAATCCTTCACTGCGTTGTTTGATAGATTTTCATAACTTCTTTAACTCCCTTGATGTTGTAACAAGGAGCACAGTGTCATCAGTGAACCTTTTTTTATATTGAATTTATTCCTTGTTCTTCTGTTTCTTCATAGTATTAATTATTTCTTGTGACTTATTCTACGTCCTAAATCATTCCCTTCTTTGCGTTTATATTGAATAAAAAAATGTCAACTTTGGAATTCTTTTCTCTAAAGATTTTATTTTATCCTGGGAGGTTTTGACCTTAATCTCTCAATTATGTATTTTAAAAAGTGTATTGACTGACTGTAATCATTGACTGGCTGACTGTAAAAGTTTTATGATTCCCTCTTAAAATTTTGATTATTTAGAAGACGGGTTGTTTTTTATGATGCTCAACTTCATCAAATTCACCCCTCTTTCGTCATCCACTTCACAGAATTTGATAACGTCAACATCTGACTACAATGTCCTACAACCTGGCCTGCTTGTGTAGCCTCATTCTGGGGTTCATCATCGGCGGCTGTTCCACTGTCCAGTTCGGATCACGTGTGCTTAAAGGTACCGTGACCCACCACAACATCGAGGAGACGTCGGGGCTGGCCGTGTCACGTGTTCACGCTGACGTCATCTACGCCCACAATGACAAGGGCGACAGCAGCAGATTCTACGCCATCAACATCAACGGCGGGAACAAACTCGCAACCTTCGACATCCGCCACGCGCAGAACTACGACTGGGAGGACATGGCTGTTGGGCCTTGCGCTGACGACTGCGCCTCTCCCGGGGCCTGCTCCGCTGAGGTCAGGCCCAAGCGTTACTGCCTGTACCTAGCGGACACCGGCGACCACGATGGGGCTGGAGCCATGAACAAAATCTACATGGTGAGAGAACCGTCTGTCCTCCGGAGTGGGGAGGTAGACCTGATCAACACGCTACAGTTCTCCTGGACGGAGCAGGACGCCGAGACGTTGATGATCGACCCCACAGGTCAACTCTACGTCGTGTCCAAAATTCACGGGGGAAGAGCTGTCCTCGCTAAGATCCCGAGCTCCGCCTGGGGCGGCCCGAGGGTGGCCCTAGACCAGGCCCACTCCGGGACTCTAAAGCTCACCACATCACACAATGACCCCCAGGGTGGGGACATCTCTCCAGACGGCAAGGAGATGCTTCTGGTGTGTGAGGATGACGTATACCACTACAACGTCGCCAATTTGGATTACGTCAAAGCAGTGAACAGCCAGATACCCCAGCGCATCGCGAGCTATAGTAGAGAACATTCCACTGAGGCCATCGCTTGGAGCCCGAACGGTTCTGGTTTTTACACATTACCAGAGGGGAAGGACGAGAAGTTGTATTTCTACCCCAAGATCCCGACTTCTCCTGTCATAGGCTAATTATCTATCACCTCCCAAAAAAATTCATTCGTTGTTCTATAAGCAAACCAACTGTGTTTATAACCTAAGATATTATGTTCATCGCAAAATAACCAACACAATCTATAGTTTCTTATATCAGCAAATGGGAGCAGAGAAGTTTATTATATTATTCTAGACCGTGCATCCTGATGTACATCCGGTTCACTACGAAGCGCACATTTTGAGATAAATAAAGGGCAAGTGTGGGAAGGTGCCACGCGCATTGGGTGTAATGGCGCGGCCTACAATGGTGCGCATGCAGATTAGCTAGAGTGGCGGTCATGACAGAGCACGATCTGAGGGCACAATTCTACGATCGGAACAGGCAACTGTATAATCATTTTTGAAGCAATTATTTCAAAGCTCTTGTATTCTCCTATATCCAGTTTAATGTAACGTTAGGTTTACGTTTGAGTACAATTTTGCGATCAGGATAGACAAACATCATTATTTCTTGAAGCAATATTTGTTTCAAAGCTATGGAATGCTCCAATAGCCAGATGCATGCTTCGTTACATAGATTTCCACCTCCATTCTACGATCAGAGCAGGCACCTGTATAACCAATTTTGAAATAATAATTTCAAAGCTCTTGTTTGCTCCAATAGCCAGTTCTGTGCTTCGTTAAGTTTACCTTTGATTACAATTTTACGATCAAGACAGACAATTGCATTATTATTTCTTGAAACAATCATTTCAACGCAATGGAATGCTCCAATAGTCAGTTTCATGCAATCCTTAAGTTAACTTTTATCTACGATCGGTAAAGGCAATTGTATTATCATAATTTCTTGAAATAATGAGCTATGTTTGGCTCCAGTAGCCATTTCCGTGTATTGCTGCGTTTACCTTTATGTACAACTCTACAAGCGGGACATGCAATTCTTTTATCATTTTTTCTTGAAACAATAATTTCAATGCTATGGAATGCTCAAATTCCATGCATCATTGTGTTTACCTATATGCAAAATTCTACGGTCGGGACAGGCAATTGTATTATTATCTTCTTGCAACAATAACTCCAAAGATATCTAATGCTCCAATAGTCAGTTCCATGCATTGTTAAGTTTACCTTTGAGTACAATTTTATGATCGGGACGGGCAGTTGAATTATCATTAGTTTCTTGAAACAATATTTTCACAGCTATGGAATGCTCAATTTCAAGTCATCATCATGTTTACCTGTAAGTAGATTTGAAATAGGGACAGGTAATTGTATTATTAGGTCTAGAGTTTCTTGAAGCTATAATTTCAAAGCTTTGGAATGCTCCAAAGTTACGTTGGGTGTTGTTGTTTTTCAGCCCAATTATATTATCGTAGCAGGCAACTGTATAATCATTCTATGAAACAATAATTTGAAAGTTCTAGTATGCTCAAATAGCCAATTCTGTGCATTGTTATGTTTACCTTTAATAACAATTTTACGATCAGGACAACCAATTGCATTATTATTTCTTGAAACAGTCATTTCAAAGCAATGGAATGTTCCGATAGCCAGTTCCATGCAATCCCTAGGTTAACTTTTAAGTACAATATCTACGAACAGTACAGGCAATTGTATTATCATAATTTCTTGAAATAATAATTCAAGAGCTATGAAATGCTCCCGTAGCCATTTACATGCCTTGTTGCGTTTACCTTTAAGTGCCTATCTACGATCGGGACGTGCGATTGTATTATCACTATCACTTGAAACAATCTTTTCAAAAGCTATGGAACGCACGAATCCCATGCATCGTTGTGGTTACCTATAAGTACATGTCTATGACTGGGACAGGCAATTATTAAATAATTGCAACAATAATTTCAAAGCTCCAATAGTCAGTTTCAAGCATCGTTACATTTTTCTTTCATTTTGATTGAAAAATAGGCAGCGAAAGATCTTGTTAGTATGTTAGTGTTTTTGCGCCTATAAATGGCTGCTTGCACTGTATGCTTCCCAGGAAGTTGAGTTTGTTTCAGTATGCTCTCAGGTTTGCTGGGGTAATAGTATAGATTGTGAAGCGCATAGGGCTTGCTGTTAAGCGGGGATTTGCGCTATACAAATGCTTCTCTTGCTTTTCGTGAAACAAAATACCCATCTATTCTGAATAGAAGTCGAAATGTCGATTGAAGAATTTGAGGGTCGCCTGGTATCAGTTGTAAAATTAGCGAGAAAATGGCCTGTAAAACTTGGTGACTTCCAATGCTTGAGTGTCCTTGGAAACTGAAAATTTATATTTTCATGCTTTTGATTGATGTTTTTCAAAAGAATTCACACAAACATGTTTGTAAAGGGATATAAAAGCAGTTGAGTCATTTAAAATCGATAAAAATTGCTCAACGGGGAGGGGGATGCTGGTGTCTTCGGTTTCAAAAATTTGTCAAGCGCTTGTTTTCACAACGATGCCACGCGTTATTGATGATGTAAAGGGCTTAGAAGGCGAGCAGCTTCTGTTTTAGTAGAGGTTTTACGGCACTCACAACTGCATAATCAGGTCACATGAGCGCCAAGGGGTGGATCTCAACAGAAAAGTCCTTACAGGGAATCAGACTTACTCTGCTCACCTCTCTAGCTTTAACTGCACAAAGTCTGCTTCGACTATCAAGGCACCCCGGAAATAGCAGGTCACAAGAGTGTGACAAACATACCAAAAAAAAGTAGAGGGAAATGACGATAATAAGGATTAGGAAAGAAAAAGCTGCAGTTCCCTGTTGCAGTTCAGGCACAGTTATGAGCATAGCATTGATGTGTCAGCCCATTTACAATTACAATTATACTGTGCATAAGAACATGGTTAATGCCCCCCCCCTTTGGAAATGGCCTAAAGACACTTCAGTTACTATAGCTTGTAACAAAATTGTTGCCGAATGTGTTGGTTCATCTAAAAAAATTGAAGAGGGTATACAATTTTTCCAACTTTCAGCACATGATTACTGTAAAACTTGTATTGAATTAGTAATGATATATAGTATTTAGGAATGACAGTGTAACCAGAGCACCCTTTTACAAATATTATACATAAATGTATTATTTAAGCAAACAATATGAATAATAAAACTTTGATTGCCATGGCCACGGCTAAACCAACTTTGGACCCCTCATTTTTTTAAATCCTCGCCCCGCACCTGATATAATGAATTTTTAACGTTTGAGGAAAGCATAATATGTATTTGTCTTTTCTGACAAATTTAAACATTATTACAGCTTTGGCGACTCTGTGTATTGTCAAAACTGTCGTGAAAATCGTGAGTAGTGTTTTTCACAACTGCTGTTTTCTATAGGTAATCTAGGTAAACAATCACTTTTGAAACACACGAACTCATGTGTCCGCCCAATGAACAAGAGAACGGTACTGTGATCTGTCAGTAATTATCAAGAGTCACAGGCGTGTACACTTTTTTAAAATCCATTTGGGCTGTGTTGTTTTAATATTTTGATTTGTTAACTTGCTGAATATCATATTGTGATGAAGATGAAGTCTAAGCTAAAACTGAAATTCTTTACTCACAAGAACATTGCTCTGAAAGTATATAACTATTTCACTTGTGAGAAAAATCGCGGTCGTCTAAATCGTTCTATTTGTGATCCATTTAGCAGAACTAAACATTTGCTTGATTTAAGTGACAGGACTTTGAACAGATGGATATCGGAGGCAAATGCAACCGAAGACGTCGAGGTGACAAAGAGAGGCCGACCTGTTAAATTTGATACCTTTGACAGAGATCTCGTGGGACGCGCTATTGGAAAGGTGTTAAGTGATAACCAGTACTTCACACTTAGAACACTTATGACGATTCGAATATCAACAGACTTTATGGCGCAATGTGAAGAGTCCATGTTTCAGTTTCAAGAAGACTAAAACATCCAAAGACGTAATTTGTGAGTCAAAGAACATGGTTGTACTGAGGGGGAAGTACCTACCAAAATTAAAACAGCTTAGAGAAGACAACGTTGACATTTATTTTCTTGACGAGTCCTACATCAATGCCCACCACACGTGCACCAAAGAATGGCAATCTGACACCCAACGGAGAGTCATTCCGACTGGAAAAGGTAAACGTCTTATAATGGCGCATATCGGAAGCCATGAGAGAGGACTAGTGAATAATTGTGAACTGGTTTTTGAGTCAAAGTCGAAAGATGAAAATGGCAACTATCACAAAGACATGGATAGTAACGAGTTTGAAAACTGAATTAGTTACATCGTGGTGCCTTCATTAGGTAAAAAATCATGCCTGGTTATGGACAATGCATCATATCATAATGTAACTAATCCTGGTGATAAAGTCCCTACAAAATCTATGAACAAAGGCCCTATAATAGCCTGGCTTTATAAGCATGAGATCGACCATAGTGCAGCGAAAACCAAAAAGGATCTCCTAGAAATTGTGAACGCCAGCAAACAGAGCCAGATAGACGTTTTTCGAGTAGACAAGTACCTGGAAGAACATGGTCACACACGTCTTAGGCGCCCCCTTACCACCCTCAGCTTAACCCTATTGAATTAATCTGGGCTGAGATGAAGAAAAAGGTTGCTTTGGCACACACAACATTTAAACTCCATGACTTTAAGCGACACACAAAGCAGGCCTTATCAAGTATAACCAGAGAATTTTGGCAAAAGTGTGAAGGCCATGTCAAAGCAACAGAGGAAAGATACTGGATAAATGGTGGATTAAATTTCCCTAAGCAGCCTAGTGTACCCATCAACCCGATTGACAATAAATCTGATTCCGAAAAATTGATGAGTGTTAAAATGTGTCCCTTAGATCTGTCACTATCTCTCTATAGGTTTGTCTGTCTGTCTGTGTAACCATCAATGTCGCTTCAGATTATGGTTATGAAATTTGTTCAGAACTAGCGACGCCTATGAACATCCGAGAAACTAGCAATTTGTCCAATCAGCACGTGATTACTGTAAAACTTGTATTGAATTAGTAATGATACATCGTAATTAATTAACAAGCCACAATTTCGGAAAATTTATTGCATTTCCCAATGAGTGGATGAGATGGATACTAAGCTCTTCTCAAAATATGAAGGTGATCGGTTTGGTAGTCTTTGAGATGTCCTGCGTCAAACATCGGCAATATTTTTGTTACAAGCTATAACACCGCCCTCGGGGATACGAGCTGCTTCGGCACTGGCTTTCAGTGCAAACCAGATGTAGCGAGATACAGCATCCCTAACGCAGAAAGACGGAGGTTGGCCCAAGATAAGCTTTCCCATGTGGGAATCAAACTGGTCTTTTGTGTGTGTCTATGACGACGCTGAGGGCGAACCATTAGCTCAATTGGTATCATGTTGGAATTCCGAGCAGATAGCCCTTATTCGCATCCCAGTGGGCATTATGACTTCGGGGTTGTTTTTTTTGGTTGTTTGTTGTTGATGATGTTGTTATTGTTTTTGCTGTTGTTGTTGTTGTTGTTGTTGTTGTTGCTGCTGTTGTTGTTGTTGTTGTTGTTTTTGAAAGGGAGGATGCGACTTTAAGGTTCTCCAACCAACTTGGCTCTGCATCATCGGAGTTGGACCTTAAATTCACAGGTCAGGATTCTAAAACAGTATAC